TCCGCTTGAAGTTTTGCACAAGAAAACAAAACACCCAAAAGGAAGCCACGGCTGCTCCCACTATAAAAAATTCGTACGCCATGAAGAAATGGCAATGCAAAAGTTGAAAACTTTGAAGCTTTGAAGAAAAGGAAGGAGGGGGAAGAGGATATGGATTGTCTTGTCTTTTGATGAATGTTAACAATGATGGCTACCAAAGTTGGTACCATGGCAATAAATAGAGTTTGCAATATGGTTGCAACACAGAAGCATGACTTTTGGGTTTTCTGCTCCACAAAAACTATTTTAGTTTTCATGGCCTGGACTTGGGACCATGACTATCAACATAACTGATAACGATTCCAATATCTGATCATACTTTTGTTTTTTCCTTGGTTAGCTTACATAGATGATCTAATTGTCAAAATAAAATATAATGGTTGAAATTTTGAATAGAAATGTGTTTAGGTTTGGCTGTCTTGAACTGATTAATTTTAATGACAAATCGTTAATTGGGTATGAAAAGATCATTTAACTATTAATAAATTAAAAAAGGAAAAAGAAATAGGAATAAAATGGGATTTTCATAACCCAACGAGCATGAAATTTAGCTATTTTAAACTCAAAATCCTAACATTGGGGCTCAATCCAGTTTTGATTTTTTATAATATTAAATAAATTAATTCCCACCAATCAAACTTTGAAATGGAATTAGGTAACTTCATGATCATATCACCAAGATTGCTGTGTCTCCCCAAAGAAGGATTCAAGTAAATGGGAAAAGGAAGTAGGTGATGATGTCATATCCTGAATTTATTATGGACGTTTTTTTTTTCTTATCACAACAGAAGAGCAAATTCTACACATTAATAAAATAGCCACAAAGTTCAAAACAATGGTATTTCTCTAAGACTGGATTAATTGATCAAAAAAGGATTTGATGATGTGTGGAGTGAGGAAGATTATGAATCATAACCCTCCCATTTTTTCAAAATTCTTCTCATCTAATTTAAAGTTTGAATTTGATTTTTCAACTTAAAATTTGAAGATTTTTAACCATTTGAATCACTCCAACAAAAAAACAAAAAAGATTTAGATCAAATACTCTTTATAATATAATAATATTAGAGGTAGTGAAAAGTCAAGACTGCCTGAAAGTCTGGCAAGATTAGGCTATCCATCATGTGACCCTTATGTTAAGATTTACGTGAGAGTCACATGATAGATGTCCCTGAGAATTGTGAGACAGTCTTGACTTTTGTTTTATGATAATATTAAAAAAAAAAAACTCAAAACTATAATGAATTTGAATTAAGAATTTCCTATCCTTTAAACTTAGTGTACATTATAACTAGTTAAGAGGTCTCCCATAAATAAAATAAATAATGAAAATCATAAGTTTGAAATCCATGTCAATTAACAAGTAACATGGTTTTACATTTTTTATTATTTCTTAAATTTGGGAAATAAATGAAATTTACTTTGTTCAGCAGTCATTTTACATTTCTTTTGCTGTACTCTTGTTTTGAATCTTCTTAAGACAATGAGCTCGGAAATATGCTGGCGCTGTTACAGGGAAAAACATCTTTTATTCCTTCAGCCTTTATAATGGGGAAACCAATGCATGATGCGACCTGTAAATTAATACATGACAGGGTAAGTGCATCTGGTTACATGTGATGAATAAAGTATGAAGCAAGTTTGATCTGTATCAGTATAATTAATGATATACATATCCAAGTAAATCTAGCCAAAATCCACATACGTTTTGGTGAAGGAAAAGGAAGCAATATGGACACAAATATATCAATCGCGGTGGCAAAGGAATAAAGCACCAAACCCCGTGGGTGGCGGTCTAGACAGAAGACTATAGTTGAATGTCTATATTGACTATGCCTCCAAGTTCTGCATAATCAAAAACAATCTGTTGCAACTCCTTTCTCATGGGTTTAGGTAATGCAGTAAACATTTTGTAGGTAACACATGTTGATGTATTTATCACAGATGCCATTGGCTGCAGGCAACACCACAATCATCTGATAAGTTAAAACCGAAAAGCATTGCAGTTTCAGGTGCAACTAACAATTGTTTCCTCATTCTACATTTCACGGTTGTATTCCCATAGACAACACCATTTGAAGCAATGAAGTGAAGTTTTATAAATAAGAGAGATGCTACCAAAAGGGAAATATATATTTCACATGAATTTCAAATTTGTTTGAAAGACAGAGGTTATACCTTACGCAAAATATAAAATGATTCAAGATATTTGCAAAGAGCAGGTGCATTATTTAGATTGCAAAGAGATCTTAGAAGATCCCTTAGCACAACAACGTCAGATAGTGCAGAAGTGTAGAACATCTATATGACAGAGATTTTTTTTTTTTTTTTCCTTTTCTGTATAATTTAAAAGTAGAGTTTTAGGAATTAAAATTTGGAAGGTGGCATAATAGAACAGACCTTTCCAAAGGTGAAAGTATGAGGAGCAGAAGTGCAGAACTAGCTACACTGGCTCCCACGATGACAATATTATCCATGGCTTCCAAGGAAGAAGTATATAACTCTTATATGAAAACAAACCACGGAGGCGAAGGCACTACAGTCCAAAAAAGCCATTAAAGTTGAAAACTTGAAGTGAATGAAGAAAAAGATATGTAATACTGCTGTGTTCTGAATATTTGATGTTTTAGTCATTTTGAGGAATGTGTGTAAAGCCTACAACACTCAAATGGTCCTTTTAAATGAGTATAGTTTTGTTTCTTATGGGTATTTTTTCTGCACATGAAAATGTTGATGATCAAGTAACTATAAGTGAAAAGTTAATTCTTCCTTGTTGCATTCACGTAATAATATACATGAAAAACATTCTAATACGTACAGCTTTGATGTTAATCGGCAGTGCAGGATGGAGACATAAACTTTTGGTTAGAAAATCAAATATTGGTAGGCAGGGCCGAAGAGGCGAAGCATCAAATCTATCAATTATGATAATTAACAAATATATATAGTGTAAATTACAAGCATAACATATGTAAATTATTAATAACAATATCATTTTACATTTTATTTCTTAAATTTGGTAAATGGATTAGCTTGTTTTTGCAGTCCTTTCACATGTCTCTCGTACTAATCTTGTTAGGGATCTTCATTAACAGGAGGAGCTCGGTAATATGCTGGCACGGTTACAGGGAAAAACATCTGTCTCACTCCTTCGGCCTTTATGATGGGGATAACGATGCTTAATCCCAACTGAAAATTGAAAAAGAAAAGAATAAGCAGAGATTAGATTCGTTGATTAATTTATAGACCAGAAGGTGCATGCTATGTGATGAATAAAGAAAAAATAATTAGACTTGTTCAATGAGTGAATGTACTGATATGGATACCAAAATCATTCTAGCTGCAATCCACACACGTTTTGGTGAAGGAAATGGAAGTAATAAGCGCCCAACACCATAAATTCCAACAGCAAATGAACAAAGCACTATCATCCAGGGGGGGCTTGGACCAGAGAATAGAGTCACTGGTCCAGATGAAAACATGCTTCCAAGGCTCAGATAGTCAAAACATAATTGCTGTATTTCCTTCCTTATTGGATCAGGTGATGCACCATACACCTTGTATAGGGCACCGGCTATAGTATTTATTGTAGATGCAACTGGCTGCATACAGGAGCACACAATTTGTAAGTGGAAATCCTATACTTTTGGAGCAATCAACCAGTGGTGAATGTATAAATCCTATGATCTACGCTGGAGCTCTTTGAATATCACATGGAACATGATTGCAAAGTTGATTGGGAGACATCAATGCATGTTGCTTACCTTACGCAGTAAATAAAAGGATTCTAGATATCGGCAAACAGAAGATGCGTCGTTCAGATTGTGAAGAGGTCTTAGAAGATCCCTTAGTAGAACAATGTCAGAAAGTGCCACAGCCATTCCTCCAGCAATTATAGAATGTCGTGAATTGAATGCATCTCCCATCAACAACGCACCAGGAGTGGGGTTAGCTGCTGCAGGCATTATTCTATTTGGCATAGTTCTTATGTTCCCTTTATCAATTGCAGCAATAAAAGCAGCATGCAACTCTGGGGGAACCTGACATGCATTATTCACTTGATTAGTCCCCAGAATCAGCAAAGTACATAGTGTTTGATGTTCAAATTCCATGGCAAGGCAGAGCATTAATAAACAAAAGCAAAAAAGCATCTACAAAGAAACAAATATCCTCCAAATGCTACAATGTATTGATTTTAGACTGATTCAAAGGGACATGTATTGATTTTAGATTGATTCAAAGAGGCACACACATTCATTTAAAATATAATAGGAAATAGAACCCTTTCATGTAAAAGGTGATTTTCTAATTCAAGTTAGTAGTCGACGCCTAACAGAGGTAATTTTGCATTAGAGTCAAGTCAAACAAGACCTAAGTAAATCATGAAAAGGCTAGCTACCTGGGGAGCTGCCACAGTTCTCAAGAAATGGGTCATTTGACCGTTGGAGACATCAGGCAATTTTTGGCCAGGTACATCAACCAAGCAACGAATCTTGGTACTGCTGATGGAATAAAATGCCATGGATGAAGGATCTGCAAATATAATATGCCCATAATTCGGTATTGGAAGCTCACATCTCTCTAGAACAAAACCAACAGAACAAGAGGGGATGTCAACCTACAGAAACAATTGAAAGACCCACTTATTATGATATTATCTATACCATACATAACTGCATAAGGGAATAATAGGTATCTTTAGAAGAAACTTCCATTCTTAACCAGCAATTTATAACTGATTGACAAATCATGATCACCTTAAGATTACAGAAATAGCGCCGCAAATTTGAGAAACAACCATCACATACTATTGTTAGGGGAGCATAGGCTGTGTTCTCTTTAGCAAACTTAGTTTTGTATATCACTCCCTTTACAGTCCCCTTCTCTTCAAGTAGAGAGGTTACTGTTCCTTGTTCGAGTCTTACACTGCACAAATTAAGTATTAAGGATATGAGCTTCCAAAAAGATTACCCTTTTCTAATTTCCAAATTTCCTTCATAAAAACGCAAACTTGATACCAAATGACATCTTAATACATACTTGGGAAGAGATTTAGCTTTCTCCCTCATCCTTTGAACAAAACGTCCATTGTTAAGAGTTATTCCGGACACATCAGACTGAAATTTCAGGGGATAAGGAACCTTGATAGATTTTCCATCCTTGTAAAAGACATAACCAAACACCCTTTGGGCATCAATCTCATTTACACAATCTGCAATGGAAAAAACGGTGATTTCAACATTACAACTTAGAAAGTTCCTTCCTTTAACCATAAAGTGTCGGATTTTTACACAAAAAAACCGCTCATTTTCTTGCATACCTTCAAGACCCAACTCGATTAACTTCAGGTAGCCCACTGGGTGTAGAAATTCACCAACAATTCTGTCCGGCTCACTCAAATCTCTCTCTATTACATGCACTCGCCAACCATCCTGCACAGCAATACTCAAAAGGACCTTCTTACTGAATATGAAAAAAATGTTTTACAATGGGACTATACTTAGAAAGGTATAATTAATTTTATAAATTTATTAAATATTTTCAATAAATAATTTCATTGAAAGTATTTAATAGTAAATTTATAGTACAAAATGTACTTTTTAACATTCAATACGCGTTGTAACTTGTAAGTATTTAATAGTGATTATACCCTTTTCCAAATAAAATTAGTGTGCAGTTTAAGGATTAAGGATTTAATTAAAAACGACAAAAATATTGAAAGTAAAAATGGAAATTTTATTAAACTAGATTTGCCTAACCTGAAATACAGGATAAGAATATATAAAAAATATTTTTTCATCATAAATTTAAATTAAATAAATAAAGTTAATTTTTAATTTATTAATTATTTAATTAAATTTATTTAATATAAAAATTAATATCAATTTTTATATTATTTTATACATATTTATTATAAGAAATACTTTTAACTTGTACAGTAAAACAAAATTGGAAAAATCCTATTAAATTTGGCTCACATGGTAATATGTTATTCTCAACCACTGGACTTATAAAAGATTTTCGATTAGGTCCCGAAATTAGATTATATGGTACACAGTCACATAATTTAAAGAAATACTTATTCTACTATTTACTTTTTAAGAACTTTATATTTTATAGTTATTGATAGTTATTGATGGAGAGTCTCATCTCTTATCAATAATTTTATTAATTTGGCCACTTTTAATTTTTTTGGCTTTATTAGTTAAGGTGCCGAAGAGAAAAACTTATCTGGGAAACTTTTGAAGTTTGCTTATTCAAATAGTAAATTTTATTTTTTTAGAGAAAAATATTTTTTAATTAAATTTTTA